TTTTTTTTTTTTTGTATCAGAGTGACTTGTGCCATCAGTTATATGATGTTCTGCGAAATCACAAAAAGGATGATGGTACCTTGTTGTGTGATGCTTTTATACGTGTTCCAAAGAGAAGACAGGAGCCAACTTATTACGAAGTAGTTACTAATCCAATGGATCTATTAAAGGTCCAACAAAAATTAAAAACCGATGAATATCATGACATGGACGAACTGGCTGCTGATATTCAGTTGATAGTCAACAATGCTAAAGCCTTCTATAAGGTAATTAAGCTAAATTTGATGCACATCAACGTGAAATAATATTTATGGATGCAAATTATTGATTACTACTTGGGAGAATGTAAAACATTATTTTATCTTGCAGCGTACTTCTTCGGAATATAAAGATGCTATTGATTTTTGGGATCTTTGCAATAGCACGAAAAATAGGATAATGGAAGATTGGGAAGATGAACCTGTTAAAGGAAGAAGGTTGAACACAAGAAGAACTGTAATTCGTCAAGAAGATGCTGAAGATACTTCCGAAAGTTCTACTAATCCAGATGAAGATTCGCAAGCTTACGAAGACCTTTTTGCTGCAGTTATGTTAGCTACCGATCCTATGGATAGTACGAGAGCTCTTCACATACCATTTCTTCTCAAACCTTCAAAAAAAGTAAATTTTTTAAATAATATGCACTTATTTTCATTAACCTAGATTATTTTAAATTATATTAATTTCTCTCCCTACTTTTAGCTGTATCCAGAATATTATGAAGTCATTGACCAACCAATCGATCTCAAAACGATAGCAATTAAAATTCAAGAAAATGTATATACTCACCTTGCGTACTTGGAGCGGGACTTGTTGCTCATGTGTCGCAATGCATGTAATTTCAATGAGCCAGGATCGTGGATTTACAAAGATGCCAAATTACTAAAGAAAATAATCACAGCAGCAGCCAAAAAACAAACAGCAGACGTTAGCGGTCCAGTACTGAAATCTATGTCTGCTGCGTTATCCACTAGAAGTAAACGGGGAAATAAATCAGCACATGCTCTTTTATCACAAGCAGCATCGTTGAAAGATGAGGATGAGGAGTCTGATGACGAGGAAGAAGATCCATTAGATACCGAAGAAAGTGATAATCCTCAGTGGCAATTGTTTCAAACTATTAGAACAGCACCAAATAGCACAGGTATTGAACTATTTTATATTGTATGTTTTTTTTTTTCTTTTTTTTTTTTTTTCTTCTT